GTTCTGTGAAAAATGCCATTGGTATTTTGATAGGGATTGCATTGAATCTGTAGATTGCCTTGGGTAGTATGGTCATTTTAACAATATTAATTATTCCAATCCATGAACATGGAGTATCTTTCCATCTGTTAGTATTGTATTCAATTTCTTTCATCTATGTCTTACAGTTTTCTGAGTATGGGTCTTTTACCTCCTTAGGTAAGTTTATTTCTAGGTGTGTTATTCTTTTTTTAAAATGCAATTGTAAATGCCATTGTTTCCTTAATTTCTCTTTCTGATAGTTTGTTGTTAGTGTATAGAAATGCAACAGATTTCTGTATATTGACTTTGTATCTTGTAACTTTACCAAATTCACTGATGAACTCTAGTAGTATTTATTTTTATTTTGTAGTATATTTAGGATTTTCTATGTATAGTATCATGTTGTCTGCAGACAGTCACTGTTTTACTTCTTCCTTTCCAATTTGGATTCCCTTTCTTTCATTCTCTTTCTTTCTTTCTGTCTGACTGCTGTCGCTCAGACTTCCAATAACTTGTTGAATAAAAGTGGCAAGAGTGGGCAACCTTGTCTTGTTCCTGATCTTAGAGGAAATGTTTTCAGCTTTTCACTGTTGAGTATGATGTTAGCTGTGGACTTATCATATATGGCCTTTATTATGTTGAGGTGTGTTTTCTCTCTACTCACTTTCTGGAGAGTTTTTGTCATAAGTGGTTGTTGAATTTTGTCAAAAGCTTTTTCTGCATCTATTGAGATGATAATATAGTTTTTATTCTTCAATTTGTTAATGTGATGTATCACACTGATTTACAGATGCTGAACCATCCTTGCATCCCTGGGATAAATCCCACTTGATCATGGTATATGATCTTTCTAAAGTGTTGCTGAATTCAGTTTGCTTATATTTTGAGAATTTTTGCATCTATGTTCATCTATGTTCAGTGATATTGGCCTGTAATTTTCTTTTTTTGTGATATCTTTGTCTGGCTTTGGTATCAGGGTGATGCTAGCCTCATAGAATGAGTTCAGAAGCATTCCTCTGTATTTTTTGGAATTGTTTGAGAATGATAGGTGTTAGCTCTTCTCTAAATGTTTGGTAGAATTCACTTGTGAAGGCACTCGGTCCTGGACTTTTCTAAATTACTGATTCAATTTCATTACTGGCAATTGGTCTGTTCATATTTTCTATTTCTTCCTGATTCAGTCTTGGGAGATTGTACAGTTCTAGGAATTTGTCAATTTGTACTTGGTTGTCCATTTTATTGGCATATACTTGTTCATAGTAATCTCTTATGATCCTTTGTATTTCTGTGGTGTCGCTGATAACTTTTCCTTTTTCAATTATGATGATATTGATTTGGGCCCTCTTTTTTTCTTGATGAATCTGGCTAAAGTTTTATTGAGTTTATCTTTTTAAAGAAATGGCTCTTAGTTTCACTGATCTTTTCCTTTTTCAAAATTTATTTATTTATTTTTGGCTGCATTGTTGGGTCTTCGTTGCTGTGCATGGGCTTTCTCTAGTTGTGGTGAGTCGGGGCTACTCTTCGTTGAGGTGCACGTGCTTCTCATTGCAGTGGCTCCTCTTGTTGCAGAGCATGGGCTCTAGGCATGCAGGCTTCAGTAGCTGTGGCATGCGGGCTCAGTAGTTGTGTCTTTCAGGCTCTAGAGCACAGACTCAGTAGTTGTGGTGCACGGGCTTAGTTGCTTCGCAGCATGTGGGATCTTCCTGGACCAGGGCTTGAACCCATGTCCCCTGCGTTGGCAGGCGGATTCTTAACCACTGTGCCACCAGGGAAGTTCCTCATTGATCTTTTCTATTTTTCTTTTTAAATCTCTGTTTCATTTATTTCTGCTCTGATATTTATGGTTTCTTTCCTTCTACTAACTTTGGGTTTCATTTGTTCTTTCTCTAGTCCTTTTAGGTGTAAAATTAAGTTGTCTGAGAGTCTTCTCATTTCCTGAGGTAGGCAGTATAAACTTCCCTCTTAGCACTGCTTTTGCTACATCCCATAGATTTTGGATCATTGTGTTTTCATTTTCATTTGTCTCCAGGTATTTTTCGATTTCCTCTTTGATTTCTTTAGTGATCCATTGGTTGTTTAGTAGCATATTGTTTAGCCTCCACGTGTTTGTGTTTTTTTCAGTTTTTCTCTTGTAGTTGATTTGTCTCATAGCATTGTGGTCAGAAAAGATGCTCACTATGATTTCAATTTTCTTAAATTTACCAAGGCTTGTTTTGTGGCCTAGCATGTGATCACTCCTGGAGAACACTGCATGTGCACCTGAAAAGAATGTGTATTGTGCTGTTTTGGGATGGAATGTTCTATATGTATTGTCCATATGGTCTAATGTGTCATTTAAGGCCAGTGTTTCCTTATTGATTTTCTGCCTGGATGATCCATCCGTTGATGTAGGTGGGGTGTTTAAGTCCCCTACTATTATTGTGTTACTGTCATTTTCTCCTTTTATGTATGTTAATATTTGCTTTATATATCTAGGTGCTCCTATGTTGAGTGCACATTTATTTACAATTGTTATATCTTCTTGGATTGATCCCTTGATTGTTATGTAATGTCCTTGTCTCTTGTAACAGTCTTTATTTTAAAGTCTATTTTGTCTGATATAAGTATTGCTACCCAGCTTTTGTTTTGATTTCCATTTGCATGGAATACCTTCTTCCATCCACTCACTTTCAATCTGTATCTTTAGATCTGAAGTGAGTCTCTTTTAGGCAGCATATATATGGGTCTTGTTTTTGTATCCATTCAGCCGTTCTATGTCTTTTGATTTGAGCATTTAGTCCATATACATTTAAAGCAATTATTGATATGTATGTTCTTATTGCCATTTTGTTATTCGTTTGGGGGGTGTTTTTGTAGGTCTTTTTTGTTCCTTCTTTTGTTCTCATCTCTTGTGATTAGATGACTATCTTTAGTGTTATGTTTTAATTCCTTTTTCTTTTTTATGTGTGTATCTAGTATAGATTTTTGGTTTGTATTTATGTGAAGTTTATATATAGCAAACTATATATATATGATTGTTTTAAGTTGCTGATCTCTTAATTTCAAATGCATTTAACAACCCTGCATTTGTACATTCCTCCCCTTACGATTACTGTTTTTGACGTGTTTTACATCTAATTGTTTTGTGTATTCTTTAACTGCTTATTGTGGATATAGATGGTTTTACTACTTTTGTCTTTTAACCTTCCTACTAGCTTTGTACATGGTTGATCTTCTACCTTTACTGTGTATTTGCAAGGGCTTCTGTTTTTTATATCTTCTGACTGTTCTCTTTTTCAGTAGGAATGCTCCCTCTTTTGCCTTAAATTCTGATACTGATATTGCTGAATCAGCTGTCTTTGAGGCTGCTACTTTTGGTAACATGTCCCATCCCTTTTATTGTCTACTCCTCAGTGTCATGGGCTGTGGCTTGTGTCTCTTTCAACAAACCCAACCGGAGAGTCTTCAGCTGGGCAAGTGGAATCTGATCACACTGGATGTGATTACTGCTGGATTAATTTCTAACGTATTCCTTTGTGTTTTCTTGGCTTAAAAAAATCTTACCCTGATTTATTAACCATCAAATGTCCTTTATTCCTTTTTTTTCTTCTGCTGATGTGGAGGGAAGTTATATTTCTATTCTTTTAGCAATTACCTTTAAAATTTAACATGAATACCTAGTAGAGCCTATCTCAGTTCTCTTCCCTCTCTTGCAAGGGCTCTCCCTTTCATATCATCTAGTGTATCAGCTACACCTTGTTTATAATCCCAACCAACCCTCCAAAAAAAGTCCATCATGACAGAAATAAAAAATCCAATACTTACATACATACCAAATGTGCTGTACTGCTATTTCCTTAATGTTGCTTCTTCAATCAATTCCTTCTCAGTTCAGTGTCCTCTTTGGTTGTAGATTTTTTAATAGTTTCCAACAAGGACTGAAGAACTGTAAATGTCTCACAGTTATTATCTACAAATGTATTTTGCCAGTAGTCTTGAATGATAGTTTAGCTGTGTAGTATTCTAATCTGAAAGTCAAATCAATTTTCCCTCATCACTTTGAAAGTGTTTCTCATGCGATGGCTGTTGTTCTGATTGCCCTAATTTTGTAGCTATCTTTTAAATTCAGTAGCTTAAATTTTTTTCCCTTCCACTCTAATGTTTATATCTGGGTATGTTTTTGTCTAGAACAGGATTCAGTTTGAAGGCTCAGTGTTTTTTCATTGTGTAAAGGCTCTCTGCTCTTCTTTGAATTTCTTACTCTATTCAATATACTTGAGCTTCTTCCTAGGTTTCTTCTCTTGATTTCATGTCTACATTTTCCGCTTCTCTGTGCTTCATATTCAGTCTAGCTTTTACTTTTTTCACTTGTATATTTGTCTGTTGTTGATTAAATTTTTAATTAAAGTAACTTTTTGTTTCCTTAGGAATTCTGTTTAGCTCTCCTTTCCTTTTCCTTTACCATTTTAAAGATAGCTTTTCAGATTCCTGAATCATCAGAAGTTATTGGGGGGTGGGCGGGGGGGCTCAGCCATTTGTTTGCATCTGCTGACTCACCCTTGATTTTCTGATTTTTTAAAAATACAGACTTTGGATTTAGGAAGTGCAAGGCATGTCTGTGTTGGCTTCTGTCAGGTGCTCCAAGCACTGAGGTCCATAGGCCCTGGACTAGTTTTTACATTTGTTTCTTGCATAAATCTCAGGACTCAGATCAGGTACCTCCTCCTTGAAAGGGGCTCCTCAACCTCCCACTCTACCCCACCCCCCACAGGTGACCCTACTGCACCAGGATGCATTCCTCTAAAATGCATTTAATCACCTCACTTACTTCTGCAAAACGCAGTCATCTCAAGAGGCTAGACTCCTACCTGAAGACACCAGGATCATAACTCAGTCCCTTTCTCTGTGGCCTGGGTAGTGATGCTCAGGACACACTTGCTCGGTGATCATACAGCAGCCTTCACCCTCATCGACTGACTTCCTTATTACTGCCCTTTCAGACTTGTTTACGTTGCAGGCCGGGAAGGCCACATGCTTAAAGTGCTCTCTTATGTTAGCGTCAAGCGCCTCACTCCAGCCCCTGCCATCATCTTTTATGTAAGTATGAATTCTGCCACAAAAACACCCCCTTAAGGCAGAGGGTCCCTCAGTTTGGATGATGAAGTAAACTTGATCACTAAGCTCAGTGATTTTTCAAATGACCCAGGTTCCCCCAGCCCTCAGTTATATAAATAGGTATATAAAAAAGTTCAAAACAATTCAAATAATTTACCCAACTTCTGCTCCTTGTTCTGAATTTATCTACGAAAGACACTGTTTAAATCTTCTGAGCTTGTACCCTCTACACTTCTTACATGTACATTTGTATGTTCTGAGTCCCTGGTAACAAACTGTACAAAAACCCACTAGCTTATGAGGAAGGAGAATAAGGCATTTTACAAGGTGGCTAATGACAACAGCTTCTCATTACGGTCCAATAATTCAGAAGTCATGGGACCCTTGTGAATTACAGGTGTTTGACAGCTTCTCATTGGAATTTCTCAGTGAGGGATAGTCCTTGGCTGTATGCAACTGTTTTGGGCACCTCTGGACCATCCACACCCCAGCCTCAGGGCCAGATTCTTCCTCCCACCCCCAGAGGGAGCCCCTATTCTCTGTCAACCTACTCCCTTTGAAGATGAGAAAAAGGACCCAGAATTACAAGGCCCTTGGAATTACAAGTCCAGGACCGTGCAGCTAACGCAGTCAAGACCAGACCTAGACAGCCTGGGTTTTATGGTGTAGGGCCCTTTCCCCCAATGAAAACTCTCTGGAAGGAAAATTCATAATTAGGAAGCTGGTGCAATATACATACACATTTTGTTTCTCCCCTGCTTAAAAGAGCTACAAATTTTCCAAGTCCTTTCCATCACACCTCGAAGAGCTGTCATAGCACCAGTCTGGTTTAACCCCAAATATAATGGGATACATAGGAGTTTCCTTTCACATTAAAGTGTTTATCCACAGAAAAAAACGGCTTCTTCCATCTTTTGTGAAGTGATAAGGTTAATGTTTTCATGTACTAATGACCTAAAAACTCCTTCTTCTTTCTTCTAGGGTATCATAGCGATCATTTATATCATCCCTGGTGACATCAACTCATTAGTCAATTACTTCAGTTTTGCTGCATGGCTGTTTTATGGCTTGACGATCTCTGGACTAGTTGTGATGAGGTTTACGAGGAAAGAACTGAAAAGGCCTATCAAGGTAGGTTTAGTTCCCCAAATGTCACAAGTGGCTTTGATTTCCTGAAATGAACTAGATAGAGGTAACTATTTTAACTTCTAGGAGCATGCTTTCTGTTTTCAACCTGACTCTTCTCTTGAACATCATACTTTAGAGTGGAGTTTGCTCTTCAGTTCATTTCATATTATAGATTATGATCCAGTCAGCCACCTCATAATTTATTAAAGTTATCAACAATACCTGTGACCTGTCTCTCTAACCAAAGTGAGATGTCCAGTTCTGATAGTTCCAGGACCCCTCAGGAATACACTTTCTGTCAACCGATGGGGACTTCTGATTCTGGCCCAGACCCATTCCTCTGCATGCAACCACTAACGGTCCGTGTTTGCAGTCTGTTTTGGGCTCCTCCCCACCTCCCTCCATGGCTGGTGTGGGTCCATATACCAACGAGGAAGAAGGATGTATTTTATTTTGATTATGTTACAGGATTCTTTGGTTTGTTTTTCTTAAAAACCTGTGCTGTTTATTCTTATGATAACAAGTGAAGATGTAAGACCAAGGTAGGCAAGAAGAGGGCTTCAGTAACTAGAGCAAGAATAAAGATAATGTCTTTAGCTTCGGAACGCTGTTTCACAAATCTGGTTAAAAGTCTTTCTGGTACAGTAGCTTGACTATCACCAAGTTGCTGGAGTCAGAGAAGGCGTGGGGCAGCCTGCTGGAATCAGGCAGCTCCACCTCAATCAGGCCATCAGGCAGGCAAAGTCATTATGGTAGCACAGATTTTTAATCTGCGCAAAATCTCTCAAACAGAAATAAAAAGGATTTGAGAGAAAATAATGAAGTAAGGAGACAGGAAGAAAAAAAAGAGATTAACATATGTATAACTGGAGTCCTTGGAGAAGAAAATGAAAGTAACAATTCTTTTTTAATTTTTAAATTTATCTTTTTATACAGCAGGTTCTTATTAGTCATCAATTTTATACACATCAGTGTATACATGTCAATCCCAATCGCCCAATTCATCACACCACCACCACCACCTCCCCACCACTTCCCCCCCCCTTGGTGTCCATGCATTTGTTCTCTACATCTGTGTCTCAATTTCTGCCCTGCAAACCGGTTCATCTGTACCATTTTTCTAGGTTCCACATATATGCGTTAATATACGATATTGGTTTTTCTCTTTCTGACTTACTTCACTCTGTATGACAGTCTCTAGATCCATCCACGTCTCAACAAATGACCCAATTTCGTTCCTTTCTATGGCTGAGTAATATTCCATTGTACATATGAGCCACATCTTCTTTATCCATTTGTCTGTCGATGGGCATTTAGGTTGCTTCCATGACCTGGCTACTGTAAATAATGCTGCAATGAACATTGGGGTGCATGTGTCTTTTGGAATTGTGGTTTTCTCTGGGTATATGCCCAGTAGTGGGATTGCTGGATCATATGGTAATTCTATTTTTAGTTTTTTAAGGAACCTCCATACCGTTCTCCATAGTGGCTGTATCAGTTTACATTCCCACCAACAGCTTAAAAGCTATGATTCAAGAAACATTTCCTGAAGTGGGAGGGAAGGTGGGAGGGGAGACCACAAAAGGAGGGGGGACTTGAACCAACACACTGAAAGGCATACAGTGTAACTGGGAAATCCGAACTAGACTGGGCAACAAAGAAGTACATTCTGATAAAACTATGGAGTTTCTTTAAAAAAAAAAATGCTTTGGGTATATCCACTTCCCCGTTCCTGTCCTCCTTCACCCCAATTTGCTTACAAAGGAAAGGAAACAATACAGGCATCAGACTTCTGATCAGCTACACCTCACGCTGTAAGACGGTGGGCAACTTTAAGATATTCAACGGGAAAAACGTTAAGTCAATACTTTGTATCCAGTCAAAGTGACCCTGAAGAATAAAGTTACCAACGAAATAACTCAAAGCATATATTGTTACATGAGACCTAAGGAATCGCTAGAGAATGAGCTTTAGAAACCAAAAAGCCATTGGCATAAGGTGAATATATTTAATTAAAGAACTAAGACTAAATGATGGGAGATAAAGATAGCAAAACAGTATATAAATATTAAGCACTGACAGCATAATACAACAAAAATGGGAGAGAAAGCACATGAAAGTATGCCAGTTAAGGGAAGTATCTCAGGGAAACTGCCTTTGGATACGATTTAAAATTAGATGCTGGGGGGAAAAAGAAGAAATCCTAGCTTATGTCATTACTGCTTATTATAGATAATATCTAAAAAAGAGGAGACAAAGGTATTAATACCTACTATTTATAATGGTAACTCTCAGAACAAAAACAGTGTTTATAGACAGATATATCCAACACACATACCCACACACAAACACATCCACGAAACCATATCATAAAAGAACCTATATATAAAGACTCGAATAGGGAAACAAATGAGAATATCTTCCTGGTTGACATTTTCCCGGTAGAATGCTTATTAGGGTTTTTTGTTGTTACTGTTTTTTGCTCATTGATTTTTAACATCCCCAAACTTTATAGAATCTATGAATCTCTTAATATTCTTATTTCTAGTTGATAGTTATATGGAAAAAAAAGAATATTTAAATTCCCCAAATGCAATACAATATTTTTAATACGTGTGTGAGGAAAGTTTCAAATGGCATTCCAAATCCAACACAAGTCACAGTCGTATGGAGGCATATTGGAAAGTGTGAGGCATGTGTGTCTCAGATGTTGGGAAACATGTTATTGCATTAAAGGTAACCATTTACTAACAATCATACTAATTGGTCACCAGGAGGTCATTTTTACAGCAGTTTACTTCCAGGTATAACACATGTTGGATATATATATATGCATTTACTGTTTTTTGTTATATCTGAAAACACTGGTTAGAAGTCTGGGGTTTCACGTGATACATGGTAATTTTCCCACTTAAAGGAAGTAGGCCCCGGGAAGAGTTTTCCCACAGAATGTCACTCTTTAAGGGCAGAAAACTGACAGTAAGTCGAAGGTACTTTATATAGAAATATGAAGCAATATGGAGACCAAACTTATCAGTTGTATGAATAAACCAGCTTATTCAGTTTAAATGGGTTTAAATCAGCCATTAAAAGAAAAAATTTTCAGGCAGGTTTACAGAGCTGTGAAAAATGCAAAGTAAAAGGATAGGCAAAGAAAAATCAAGCAAATGAAAATACGTAGAAAACAGGGGTTGTGATCTTATCAGACAAGCACTCAGGCCCAAAACACAAGACAAAGACCATTTAGTAATGCAAAAGGCTAAAATTCACAATAAAGAAAGAGATAACAGTTATGAAAACCCATTCACCACACCACACAGTAATTATTACTTTTACGAAACAAACTATAGGAAATACAAGGAGAAACAGACACACACACTAATAGGAGACTTTAAAACATCTCTCTGAGAACAAGACAGATCCAGGCACATCACTAGTAAAAGTGACTGCAGATCTATAAAAACATAACAAGGTATATCTTAGAGATTCATTTCAAATTCTGAATCCCCCAAATAGCAAACATAGTGCATATGGGACAGGTCTGACCACTGACAATCTTTAATACCACAAAGAAAAACCCTGATTAAAAAAATCAGAAATGGGGCTTCCCTGGTGGCACAGTGGTTGGGAATCTGCCTGCCAATGCAGGGGCCACGGGTTCAAGCCCCGGTCCGGGAAGATCCCACATGCTGCGGAGCAACTAAGCCCATGCACCCCAACTACTGAGCCTGTGCTCTAGAGCCCATGAGCCACAATAGTGAGCCCACGTGCCACAACTACTAAGGCCCACGCGCCTAGAGCCCATGCTCTGCAACAAGAGAAACCACCGCAATAAGAAGCCCGTGCACCGCAACAAAGAGCAGCCCCTGCTCGCCGCAACCAGAGAAAGCCCACGCGCACCCACGAAGACCCAACGCAGCCTAAAACAATAAATGATAAAAAATAAGTACATTTTTTTTTTAAAAAATCAGAAATGATACAGATCACATTCTCTGACTATAATGCAATAAAACAGGAAATTAATTTTTAAAATTAAACATTTTGGTCCAAAAGGAAATAGGAAATGAAAGTACATAAATTCCTAAAAGTAACAATAATGAAAACAAGACATATAATCTATGATCGGCACTTTAAGGAAGTTCCACTACATTACTTACACCAACAAAAACGAAAACAAATTAAATAGGCAACTCAAAGGGCACGAGAAAGAACAACAAAGAAAACCAAAAGGATATAGAAGGAATTAATAAACATAAAGAAAGCACTTAACTGGATTATCTGATTTTTAGAATTTCACCATGAATTCAGATTCTGCTGGGGTTAGTTTTAGTAAACTATATTTTCCTAGAAAACTGTCCATTTCATCTGGGTTTTTGAATTTATTTGTATAGAGTTGTACAAAATAGTTTATGATTTTTAAAAAAACTTCCTGTGTTCTGGAGATTATTTCTCCATTTTTGTTTCTTATTTTTGTGTTTATGCTTTCTCTCTTTTTTTTTTTTAAGGTAAGCTACAGGATGTTTTATTGATTTTTCAAATTATTTTTATGGACTATAACACTGATACCAAACCTTGCAAAGATAGCACAAAAAAGGGGAGAAGAGAAAATCACAGACCAATCTCACTTTTGAATATTGATATAAAAATCTTAAAATATTTTAACAAATAGAATCCAGTTATATTAAAAACATATCATGACTAAGTCAAGTCTGTGCAAGGGTGGCTAAAGATTAGAATGAACTGGATTTAATTCATGGGGATATAATTCACTATATTAATATACCTATGGTAAAACCCCCTATAATCACGTCCCACAGTTGCCAAAAACCACCAGGTAAAATTCAACATACATTAGTGATAAAAACACAAATAGGAATTTATAACCTCTTCCTTGGCATGATCGCACACACAAACACGCCCTATGGCAAAAAAGCAATTTTAATTGATAAGGTAACACTAGAAAGATCTCTGCCAAGATGAAGACACAAATGCCTTCCTGGGCTTCCCTGGTGGCGCAGTGGTTGAGAGTCCGCCTGCCGATGCAGGGGATGCGGGTTCGTGCCCCGGTCTGGGAGGATACCACGTGCCGCAGAGCGGCTGGGCCTGTGAGCCATGGCCGCTGAGCCTGCGCGTCCGGAGCCTGTGCTCCGCAACGGGAGAGGCCACAGCAGTGAGAGGCCCGCGTGCCGCGGGAAAAAAAAAAAAAAAAAGCCTTCCTTCTATTTCTGCTGTCAGCTAACACTGTTCTGAAGATATCAGCAAGGCAATTAAACAAGAGAAAGCAATGTGGAGCATAAGAATTAGAAAAGACTTTCAAAAGTCTAACTTTCTCCTTTCAAAGAAAATAAAACTGTACATCTGGAAAACCCAAAAGGATCAAAGAAAACACTATAAGAAAATATAGTGAAGTAATATGACATAAAACTAACACACTGTAGTCAACAGCCTTCATTTATAAAAACGATATCCAATTAAAAGATAATGAAAGAGAACAACTCATCCCCAAACCAAAAAACACCTCGCCATAAACTTAACAAGAGGTTAGACATCACAGGAGAAAAGTAAAATTCTCCTGAAAGGCAGAAAAGGTAACTTGAACAAAAGGAAATCCATCACGTTCTTGGAGAGGGAAACTCAGCATCATTAATTTAGATGTTTAATGAGATCGCAATAAAAAACACCATCTAATTTTTTTTTCCTGGAGTTAGACAAGTTGATTGTAAAGCTCATATTGAAGAACAAACTAGACAAAATAGCCAGGGAAAATCTAAAAATAAGAAAAATATTAAAATATAGGTTCTAAAATTGAGACACAGATGTAGAGAACAAACCAAGGGGGGAAAGTGGCGGGGTGGGGGTGGAGGGTGGTGGCTGGTGGTGGTGGGATGAACTGGGAGATTGGGATTGACATGTATACACTAATATGTATAAAATGGATAACTAATAAGAACCTGCTGTATAAAAAATTCAGAAATTCAAAAAAATATATAGATTCTAAAATTTAGATATCATGGTGCTGATGCATGAAGAAAATATAAATTGCTCTGTAATTCAAGAATGAAGAAAACCTCTCCCATGACTCAAAATCAAGGAGTAATTTTTTAAAAAGGGGCAACTATAACCACCCCAAAATAAAAATGAATGCATGCAAAAAAAGAGACGTTTAAAACACATATACATAAAATATCGGGGAAAATATTTGCAATAATATCACAAAAAAAGGATAAATATCCCTAATTTAAAGTTACTAAAATTGAGATGGGAGTTACTAACAATTGAAATGGACAGAAGATATAAATGGACACAAGAAAATAAAACAACAGTTCAATGAAAAAATGCAACGACACTTAAACATGAACCAAATGAACCCCAGCAAACTCAATTTTGTTTCTTATAAGAGAAGGCACACCAAAATTCTAACGAGATACCATCCTTGCCTATCAGATGGGCAGAAATCCCAAAGTTTGGCCACACTCCATTGGAGAGGCTATGGGGGAACAGCCTTCTCAAACACTGCTAGTGTAATACAAATGGTATGGCCACTACAGAGGGAAACCTGGCAATATCCAGCAATATTACATATGCATTTACCTTTAGACCCAGCCATCCTGTTTTGAGGTAATCTATCCCTAAGTGAAGTAGACAAAAATATGAAATATACATAAGCTTACTTGTTGCATTAATTGGTAATAGGAAAAGGTTCAACACAACCCAAATGTCAATTAATGGGAGACTAGTTGAATAAGTTTTGGTACATCCGCAAAGTAGAGTGGTATGCAGCAGTAAAAAAATGGATGAGTAATTTTACACAGTACTATGACTCTCTGGAATATATTAATGGAAAAAAGCAAGGCGCAAAACTGTGTTTTATGCATTTGCTCCCTTTTATGTAAGAGGAGTGGAAGATGAACATGTGTATGTACATCTGTGCATATACGTGTGTCTATTCTGAAAGAGAAATAATGGAAGAATAAAGCAAAATCAAGAAAAAATTTATATTAAAAAAATCAAATAAAAAAGGGAAAAAGCAAAAACCTAAAAAACTAGAAACAAATGGAGATAAAGAAACCTTACTCTGTAACAAGTAGATGACATAACCACACAGAGAACATAATCACTAGAACTGATATTAAAGTGCAGGACTTTGAATGCATCTCCTTTGTGGCTTATACTGTGCAGTTAAAAGGAACCGCAAAAAAATCTTAAACTTCATACTACTTCTTACAGTGGTAGTATTGGTACGGTTATTTTGAAGTTTATTATAGGCACATTGTAGGATAAATAAAATAAGTAATTATATGAAAGCCATTGAGAAGATTTTCAGAAGGCATAAGTCTAGAGAAAGTAAGGAAAAAAGTGCAATCTTACGTTTGAACGGAAACTATCAGTAGAAATTTATGAATTTTTTTCCCTTCTTGAAAAAAAATTTTTTTCTCTGTCCTTATAAAAGAACACTGAGTACTCCCAACCACCCAGATTACGGTTTCTAAATGCCATTTCCTACCAAACGCCCTGGAGAAATGGGTGAATCCAGATCTGCTGGGACTGGATTCCTCTCCAGCCCCTGAATCCACTGATTGACTTTAGGGATTCAAAAGTGTGACAGTCAGACCTTAAGTGCCTCATGATGTGTTACAAGAGGAAGTGCACTGCTCCAGCTACAAAGTATTCTTGCCTCCACAGCTAACTACTGGTTTACAGGAAACAAGAGGGACAGAGGAGCAAGTTATCAGGCAAAGCTAGAATGAAGATACTGTATAGGATAAACCATCCAATTCCTACGAATTAATGACAAGATAAAGAGAGGAGGGAACAAACGTGTTAAAAACAAAGTCGTCATCAGTTAGAGATGTATAACGCGTATTTTACAGGTAAAATGACACGATGGCATTTTCTTTACAGTCTAGGGAAAAGAAAAAGACGAACTAAGGTTGGCAATTTTACTTACAAATGATTGAAACTGGAGGAGGGGTACATGGAGTTCATTATATTCTTCTTTCTGTCAAGTGTTTTGTTTTGAATGAAAATTTTCAAAAAGGAAATGAATGCACATGGCCAAATCACGACACCACTCTGTTTTGCCTACAGGTGCCCATTTTCATCCCCATCTTGGTGACTCTCTTATCCGTGTTTTTGGTTTTGGCCCCAATCATCAGCCAGCCTGCATGGGAGTATCTCTACTGTGTGCTATTTATGCTGAGCGGCCTTATATTTTATTTCCTTTTTGTCTACTATAAGTTTGGATGGGCACAGAAAATCTCAAGTAAGTATCAACTGAGGGACTGCTTTGCTGTTAGTAAAGTGAGGCAGGCCCGACATCCTGTAGCCTCATCTGTCCCGATTCTACCAGGACCTTCTTATCACAGGGTCTTGAGCAGCTAACAAGTTTCATCTCCTCTTTGGGAGGAGGCATGACCTGATCTCCTCAGTGTGACACCTCTGGGGTCCACCTGTGGCCTCTTCCTTTGTTCCCATCAATTCCTGTAGCAAGCAGGAAAAGGAAGCACCGTTTTTTGTTTTCTTTTTTTCAAACGTAACATACACATAACATAAATCTTGACCATTTTTAAGTGTACGGGTCAGCAGTGACAATACACATTCACATCGTTGTGCATCCCATACCCGAAGCACTGCCGCCTCGTGCCTGATACCCGGACATCATCTGGGAGTGTCAGCAGCATCCCAGAGACACCCAAAATGCGACAGCTGGGACGGGAGCCTGAGCCTTCCAACACCAAGGCCACGGCTCTTGCTTTTCACTCGGCAGTACTGATTCCTTGTGTATTTTAGGCAAGTTGTTTAAAAGTTTAGCTATATTAGCCATTTTCATTTTGAAAAAGAAAGCAGTGATGGCAGAGTACATCAGAGGACCCTGAAGTACACCCAAGGGTGTGTTATATTCTACATGGCACAGCCAGCTGCAAGGAACGCCATTCACAAAAGCCTGCCAGGCTCCCGAGCCCCTCACCAGACCAACAGTGATCCACAGCCTTGCCTGGTCTCCCTCACCCTAAACATGAGTTCCCCAGAGGCAGGAATTGGGCTGTGTACAATTTAATCCTGGATCTATACAGCAGCCACGTAGTATTTAAGTAAATGTGATGAAAAATCTGCCTTCAGCTCGTTCTCACCAGGGAAGTACAGTCATTCCTCAGGCACCCCTATGTGGTTTTTTATTTAGATGCATACAACTTAGGGAGACATACAAGGTAGCAAAGAGCAAAACCCAACTGCAAGTGGGGGAAGCTGGCCCTGAGACTCCATTTAGACTGAGCCGCCAGCGACGGGGATGCCTGCCTCCACTCCCTCTGCCTGTGTGTCCCCCACCTGTGAAACTGGTACCACCTCTCACCTGACAGGTGTTATAAGAGACAGAGAATCTGTTTCACGTTCGTTACCAAAGGGACAGCAAAACCAAAATACGGCTTTATTATTTCCCAAAGGCTTTTCCCCTTTCTTGAAATAGCTCCCCCTACCCCTAACCTCTTTACGCTGATCTAAGCCCGAAGCTGAGAGGGGTTGCAGGGACACTACTATAGAAACGAAAGAAAAGGTATATTACTACCTGAAAAACAGCCACTTTTTCCCATGCCTCTGAAAATGGACTTGCATTTGATCATACTGACAGAGAATCTACCTAGGATGACTTACAACCTAAAGGCCTGAAATATGTCTTATTTCTCAGCTTTAGAATATTTAGCCAAGCTGTTCCGTACAGAAACCAATAAGAAGTTAAAATTAAGGAGGTAAAAAGAATTAACAACCTGTATTTTAAACAAGATGCAGACTTAGTGACTTCAGACCAAACATTCGATCTTTGGTCAGTGGTAGTTAAATATACGCATATAACTGAGTCATTCATATTTTTCCTGTAAATGTTTTGGTGGCAGTAAAATATTTAGTAGGTTCCTAATGCTTTAATGGGAAATAACTTATCTCCAAAGAACCACCGTAGCTCCCAGGATGGGTCTGCCCACCTCTACCCACCTGTGTCCCCTGAGCACAGGCTCTGATGTGAGACATCACCAAGAAGTAATAATAATATCACTGCTCATTGATAAGCAAGGCGAAGCTAACTTTAATTTTTTTTTATTTTTTGCGGTACGCGGGCCTCTCACTGCTGTGGCCTCTCCCGTTGCGGAGCACAGGCTCCGGACGCACAGGCTCAGCGGCCATGGCTCACGGGCCCAGCCACTCCACGGCATGTGGGATCTTCCCGGACCGGGGCAAGAACCCGTGTCCCCTGCATCGGCAGGCAGACTCTCAACCACTGCGCCACCAGGGAAGCCCGCGAAGCTAATTTTAAATTACGGTTTTCTGACTGCACTTTTTCCCTCCAGAGCCTCTCACCATGCACCTTCAGATGCTGATGGAAGTCGTCCCCCCAGAGGAAGCTCCAGAGTAACAAGGCTCAGCCTCCTGTGGCCAGGTCTAAGCTGTGAAGAATTTATTTTTGTAAGCAGTATTTGTGGTTGTTTCTTCCTGATGTTTTTCTTAAGAAAAAAATGTATTCATATGTGTATAATACTGTTATTTTTAGCTATCCTTAGCTCTCTGGGTGGGTGTTTGCTGAAGTTAGCAGGTGAGGATGTAACCCAGCAGAAGGCTGGTGGCCAGGGAAGGGCTGAGTCAGAACGGCCCCCACCACACGGTGACTCTTCAACAAGGGGCACATCACACTTACTTCAATAAAGGGAATTCTTTAAACTCAGTGATCAGAAAGGTGCATATGTGTGTGTGTGTATATATATACATATATATATACATATATATATATATATATATATATATATAAAATATAAAATTGGTGGAACTTTTGCTTTGATTGAAATAGATTTTTAAAATACTAAAGTACAAGTGCTTTACTACCTACCCATATTTCACCTAGGATGTATGTAGCAGGTCTGCCCCAGGCTGGACGTCAAGGCCCCCAGTGCAAAGCTGGCCGTCCGGAACCGTTTTGCAGCCTGTGTCCACAAGGGGCTCAAGGGACTCAGCATCACAGGTTCCCTGACAGCCTTCACTGGCATTTCGGTCAAACCAGAAAGTGTGGTGTATAAAATTCTATTTTGCATTTGGCACTCACAGATATTCCTGACAAAATACGGTCTAAAAAAATGGAAGAAAGTAACATTTCTGTGAAAACACTGAAATTTTATTGACATACTGCAGAAGACACTCACACCAAAATTTCCTAAGTATGTGAGCAATTTTAGAAGCATAGAGACGAAAGTACTTTTACCAGGCATTTCAGAAATTTCCCCCCAAACGTGAGATCAGTACATATTAATAGTAGAGAACAAAAAAAGCAATTAGTAACTGTTTACATTTCACAAGCCGGTGTCCTATGTCTTACCACATGTTATTCAGAACTTCAAATAACAGTAAATGTCTCAAAAAAGAAACTGAAATTTAAACATGGACCCTCCTCTGGCCAATACCTTCATTTGGCTGGTAGTGAACCACACGAGAGCATCAGTATTCTATCTTCTCTGAGAGCAGGACGCCACCATTTGCATGTGGGCAACACACGTTTGTGCAGCTCTACTGCTTGCTATTATTGTGGGCTGTTTTACGAAAGAGACAATACAACCGAGCACACACTGCAGGTGGCTAACAGTCGCAAGGAAAGCCGGTGCAGCTCAGGAGGCCTGGCTGCCGACCCAGAGCCCTTCCCGGTGGAAGCAGGGTACACTGGATGAGGACATTAAAAGAGTTTTGCAGAATCAGGACCTTTGCCAGCAAAGACACCAGCACTTCACACTTCCCAAAGAGCCTGCCCTATTTAGCCAAGAAAAAGGAAAATCACTCCCCGTGCACTTCACGTGCCAATCGGACACCTGCCAGTTAACCCACGGGAGTCACGGCAGCAGCAAGGATGCGCTCCTGGCGGCTGTCCAGGCTGGATGCCGCGTCCTTCCCACCAGAGGGCAGCGGCCTGACCCCGCCCAGCAGCGCTTCGGGCCCCCGAGGCCAGGTGAGGCCCCACAAGGAGCTGAACGTCTTATTCTACAGATGAGGAAACTGACAGCCAGACGGTGATCCACGCCTGCTCACAGGACACGACAGCTTGACAACAGAGAGTTCACCTCTCGTTTAATACCTGGGACATACCTGGTGGTTTATACCTGGGACATACACAAACTTGGGCACCTGTGCTTTCTGATGTGTAAAAAGAAGAAAGATCTTGCGGGCAGTTCCAACAACCTACCGATGCTCTTTTCCACTTCTAGGCAAAGCCGCCAGACCCACACTAAAGCAGTGCACAGGGTGTAAATTTCCCAATAGCTCGCCTGTCTTAACTTCTTCCAGTTACCATGAAAAGTCAGGCTCTGGGCATTCCCACACTTAAGCGGTAATGACAATACACATTTCTTGATAACCTCGTGACCTTATTAAGGCACCGCAGCCTCATCCCAGGATGGAGTCATGAATGTTTTCAGGGCTCACCACATCCAGGTATTCTGAGGGTTACCTCCAGGCACCCCACACGACCTTTTCCGTTTCCACTGGAGAGAAACCTGTGTCCTATTTGTCCAGGACTCTGCAGGTTCCAAGGGTTCTTCGGAAGCACTAGCTTTACCTCCAGAAAGCCCTGGGTCAGGCTGCTATTGCTGAGGGAACCCCATTCTCATCCTTGGACTGTCTCTTCACAAGAAGTAAACTTACCCTGGGTAGCTATCAACATCGAAATACTAGGCGCATTAGTACACAGACAGTTAACCCTGAATCTCAACTAACTCACGGTTGAAAAGGTCTGTTAAGCCGTGCGGGCTATGAATTTTAAGAAATCTCAATTTATATGCACAAGGGAAGGTTTTAAGAATGTAACCAAACACAGGTCTAAATGAAAAAAAAGAAAAACGAACTCCAGATGGTACAGTTCATTACCCGAACGCCGCGGCGGGCACCACTCAACCTGAGTGCTGAGGTGGGCTTCACACCGGAGGCGATGGGCAGGACAGCCCAGCACTCGCTGTGTCTCTGCGTCTACCTTCCTTCCGGAGTCTCATCGTCGGCCCACTTTTCAATCAGTTAAGAACTTCTCCCCGTTCCTGATCCCGGTGCCACAAGGTAGCGCTCAGTTATACTTGATCCTTGAAGTGACGAAAGGTCTGAACGTGACTGCCTGCCTTCTCAGCTCTCGGTCATGTAGCAACGTCCATTTCCGTTCAGAGTCCTCTGGCCGCTCTGCAGGATTTAATTCACATTCTCATTCACTGTCACTTTCGTTTTCATCTGAAGCTTTGTCACTGGTCTCAACCAGCTCTACCACTTTGCAGGACGGGTTTTTAGAATTTACCAGCTAAGAGAGATATTATTAAAAATATGTTACTAATTATAGATTAATTAGCAAATCTCCCCCACCCCTCACCTCCCCCCTCCATTATTTTGGTCATTGCAGAAAAAGTCCCTTTGGGTTCTAGCTCTGTATTTTGTGACCTATTTTATATTTTCATTATTTTAAGCAAGAAACAAGCAGGTAAAATTTGCCTGCTTATGAATAAACTATTTTCCTAGGAGAAATATTTGTAAAAGTGTTATAAGGAGGTATGTCTATAACCAAGAGTTGATAACTTCCTCAAAGCAGAACATTTAGCACCAAGACCAACCACGAGGAGAAAACGGATACCTAAGGGCTTTGCATTAAGACCCATTTCCACGAAGGCCACACTGCTGAAGTCAGCTGAGTGACTGCGTCCACCCCCACGGTGCTCAGGACCTACGACTCTCCAAGGGATGGGTGCCCCCCCTTACCCTGGAGAAGTGGTTGTCCTCATCCTCGTCACATTCTTCCCAGTGATCAAAATCAAAAGCCACGTTAGGATTCTGTTCAATATAACAGTTTATGTTAAGTGAGAGAATAAAACATGCTGCTCAGCGTGTTAAGCCCAAGCGCAGCTGATTTCAACTCACCCTCTGTCTAAGTAAGCCACACCAAGACTCCTTTTTCTCTTTCGAAAGAGTGATTATTGGTTCATCATTTTCCACCGTGCATTTGCAATCATCTTTTACTATGTTGGCCTGCAGCTCCAAGTCAGCCAAGTAAAACTTCTCTCCCACCCAGGCACTAGATTTACAAAAGGAAATGAGGTCAGCCTTTTAAAATGTTAGAAATTATTTCTTTTACTTTATAAGCTATCCATAAACCCACCTGAAAACAACTCTATCTCTAAAGTATTTACATTTGTAATCTTTTACATTCCTTATTCTTATCTTCAATATGACCACATCCTCTTTTTGGAACCATTTTATTTGTGGGTGGAAGCTAGAAGAAAGTGAAGAGGATTATACACTCATCTCTGTTTATTCGCTAGGCAAGAAAGGAAAGCAGACCCCGACAATGATGAGCATACCTTTTCAGAGGCCCTGTAGTTTTGTTAATGGAAGCATCTCCAGTGTTTTCAGGTAAAGTTTCTGTACAAAAAGTCAAATTTTCCTATAGGTTACTGATATGTGACTCCATAATATATGTATATATATGTACCTTTTTGCATTTTATGCAACTTTTAGTTGAGGAACTACTCACTAAGACTACAAGAGTATAAACTTCATAGTAACCAAAGTATCCAACTGCAAAGAATAATTTTAAAAAATTAAAATGCAGATCACTTAGTATAACTAAGAAACAAATATCAGACTAAGAAAACACGTATCTGCCTTGTTAAATATTATGATTAAACAACTGGGAAAGTAAACTCTCTGAAAAGGAACCACATATAATTATCGGCCATATGATACAAATGCTCCAGTGTCTCTGCTATCTGAACCTGCTAGGGCCCCACTAACGACTTCCAGAACAGTGGCCAGTACACACAAGGAACCACTGCTGAACATAACATTTCCTAAAACAATGCAATTTAAATTCTCAATCTGAAACATCTGAAGCTTCCAAAGACTTGAGTGAAAATGTTTATGAGCAGCTTTGTTAACAGTAGTCCAAAACTGAAAACAATCAATGTCTTGTAACAGGTGAACAGCTAAATAAACTGTAGTATATGCATACCATGGAATACAACTCAGCAATAAAAAAGTACCACTGCTACCTGCAATAATCTAGATGAATTTCACAGACATAAAGTTGAGTGAAAGAAGACACAAGAGTGTATACCATGTGCTTCCAATTCAGCAACACTGATGGTGACAGAAGTCAGAACAGGGGTTACCGGGCAGGGTTACAGACAGGGAGGGTGCGTAAGCGAGACCACTGGGGTTCTGGAAATGTTCAACAGCTTGATCTGGGCGTGGGTAATGGTAATACACAGGAAAAATTCTGATGAGCTGTACACTTAAGATCTGCGCACTTTTACCGGGTGAGCATTATACTTCAAATAACAAAAAAGAAAAAAGTTACCAAAAAAATTGGAAGCCGTACTGTCAAAAACAGAAAGTTGGGTAATATCAGTTTCTGTCACCTTCTCTCTAATTCATCTAAAAGTGGAAAGCCTAAACGTTGGTAAATTTCCAAGCATTAATGATTTTAAGTTAACCGTCTTTTACATAACCAACCATGTGTTG